CAAAACTGAAATTAAAAAGTATACTGACTAAAAGGGAGGATGGAAAATGCAAGCAGCTAGCTGGTAGCAAACGTTAGCTGTAGCAGATGTGATTACCATTAGCTCTAAATGCATGTTAAATTAAAGCCAGCATCTGTTCCCACAGAGATGGCCTCAGTCATTTTAAAAGAAAGGTTAGTTTGGAAATCCAAACTTTAGAAAAGGATTAAAGGCAGGGTTTGGGAGAGGTAGAGAAACCTGATGTCTGATAACCACGGGCAAATGTTCACAGTCCTGGATGGTCATTCTGCAGCTCTGAATGAGCGGTGGTACATTTCACGGGAGCTGGTGAAGATCCTGCATGTAGAAGTCAACAAAACCTTTGAAGGATGTAAATGTAAGATTCAATGATCTGACTTCTTTCTAGACAATCAAAGCTGAGCAAGCAGTAAAGTAAGATGCTGGTGACAAATCCAGAGAAAAGGAAAGCAAAGTCCCAAAGACTTCGAAATAATGACTAGCATTTAACTCCGAGCAGCAGTTACACAAAGAGAAACAAAATGATTATAATAGCAGGCATCAGAAAATACTGGGACCTAGAAAAATGAAAGTAGTAAGAATGAGTAACTCAGTCAAAAAATTCAATCACACAGTTACCAAGGTTGGATGTAATTTCAGAAAACTGAGGAAAAGGACTTCCAAAATGATGAAGGGATTACAAATTGTAAAATAGGTGGTAGGAACTGTCATCAGAGAAATCACAAACAGAAAAGAAACTGTGTCATCTAATCAGAGTGCTGAAAGCTCAGGAATAAAAAATGAAGTGGAGGAAACATGCCTGGCTGCGACTTCTTAAGAATGTTCCTAGCCACTGACTGAGTAGTAAGACTGATCAGAACTACTTAACAGCAGGAAATCGTTACAGTAGCAGAGGTAAAGTGACCAAAACTGTCATGATTTGGTATCCTGCTCTTCCCATCGCACCAGCAGTTACATCGTGTTGGCTATCTAAATTTATTTTAATAAATAGTATGCTGAAATAACCGTTTAAAAGAGTCATATCAAACTTGTTTTAGGGCTGTAAATTCTGAAAAGAATTAATGTGTATATCTAAGAGTTTATTTCTCGGTTTGGGACTTGTGGTGAAACATTCAGTTCAATTTTATTTGAGCTGATTTAACCACCCTTATCTTAAGCAATAAAACTATGGTTTTGAACACCCATCTACCTTATTTCTAGAAAATCCTACAGATTTAAAGCAAAGATCAGTTGCTAAAGTATCAAGTCAAAAGTAAGAAGCTAGATGGCTTTGTTTAGTGAGGATCTATAATAAACTTAGGTAATTACTTCTCGCAATTTAATTTCACTGTTGTAAAGTTTAAAGTGTAACTAACAACAATGTAAAACTGGAAGTAACTATAGTTTACTTCTTAATAGCGTGGAGCAAAGAAATTTTTAGAGTTAATGAGTCAGTGAGACCAAAACAAAACCTACAGCAAATTCAGTCAAAATACAATCAGATATGACATCTCGAGGGCTACGGGCAATTAGGAAATAGGGAGCTTTTCGTAAATATTTTGGTTCTGTGACACTTTGCATTGTGACTAGCCATTGGCTCTGTCAAGCACGTAACAAATCTGTAAGCGAGACTGCATGTTTATCAGGATTGCTCAACCTTCAGTAACAATTGAAAGCTCTTACAAGCAGATGGCTGGGGGACTGTAAGAAACCATTTTGGGTTTACATCAGTCTCCCTGTGGATAAGGGCCCACACTGGAATGAGTACTAATTAATAATCTTACCAGGAGCTCTGACAAAGAACAATGGATTGAATGCATGTGAAAAAATTAGCTATTCTGAGCTATATCTATTAGCTGAATTTTGAAATCAGGCGTTTCCTGTGTAGTGGGACAAGATTTGATTCTTCATCTATCTTCTCTTTTTCTAGTCTGTGAAGCAGTCCTTAGGGAACAGTTTTAGTTGAGATGTTTCTAGGAAAGTAGTTTTCCCAGTTTCCCTGCGTTGGCTTTCTTAGGACTGAATCAGAAAAGTAGTGCAGAGCTACCAGAGAGAGTACCGACGCGTCGCCTGCTACTTCACCTGGACACGCCAGCTCTACCACTATGGTTCTACTTCTCGGGATGCTTATGGGTTATCTGAAAAACAGGCAGGTATTCTTAAGTAGCTATGCTACTTTTGGGAAGGCTGTGCAAGAACTGCGGGGGATATGCTACTATTATTTGCTTCTCCCAGCATATTGCCATGTCTCCTGCACAAACATAATCTATGCAATTTAGCCCTTACAATTTAGAAATGATGTCTTTATGAAAAATGGCTGTAATACTTCCATTAAAGTAGAGAAATCTCTTATTAAACCTTTGACGTTAACAACTTGATCACAGGGGTACGGGATGCAAGTTATAATGACAAAATTGGCTAGCTAGTATAATGCAGTTGAGTGTAGATTATTACAGGATTTGTACAAAAGGGAATTTGTTGCTGAAATTTTTTTTTCATATTTTATACTGATAGTAAGTATCTCTGTTCTGCTATATGTCTGGGTTGACATATAGAATCTTCTTGTCATTAGCAGGTATTTCTTGCCAATGTATTGGTTTTCAATGATAAATCAGTGACATGAAGTTATTTCACATTTTTGTTGATAGAGAGTTGCTGTTTGACTATAAAGTAAAATTTAACTTACTCTCACAACAACATAGATATCTGAAAATATTATTATCCAGATAGCAGAAACTATGTTAACCTCTCCTCAACTACCTTGAGTCTATATTTGAACAGACAAAACCAAACTAAAACACGTAAGCATGATGCTGATGTTCTGTTCCTGTGTAATGTCTCCTATTGTCTTTAGTATGCATTTTCTGTCATTTTCATCATTCTCCTGATAAAATTATAAACACTATTACACAACAAACATTAGAAATGTTATCCCAAATAAAATTAGCTGAAAAGAGATTAGTTTCATTATTTAAACAAAAGAAATATTGTTTCTACCGTATTTGCATCTGGAAATTGAAAAGTGAAGATGGGATAGGGGATAGAAAAAGGAGTGAGAATTTGCTCTTGAGTTTCAACCCATTTGGGGTTGAAAATAAACTTTATTTTTAAAATAAACTTTTCTTAAGTAATGATCTTCAAATCATGGACTCTTAATGTTAGCAACTTATTTAAATAGCTGCACAGTAAAAATGGTTGAGCACTATTGTATTTTAATGACAGTTTTGCCCATGAGAACTGCAAGATCTTATTCCATCAATAAAATCAGAATTACTGCCATGTATAAATGACAGTCTCAATCCATGCGTATCAAAGAAGTCCATGGCATTAGAAGAAAAAAGAAAACAATATAGTTTGGTCTGGAACTGGAGCTGATGAAACAGAGGCACCCTAAATAACATTTAAGAATTGCTCTGGCCAGAGATTGCTTTGATACATGGGTCATTTTGGCTGCTTACCTTTAGATTTAAAATTAGTAGTGGTGTTCTCAGAAGTCAACACCAGATACTTGAATAAACCTCACAGATGTTAGTACTTTAAACAGAAGACGTACTCTCATTCTTACAAAATAAACACATAGTAGAATGGAAATAAAAAAAAAAAATCCCTCCAAGATGTTAAAGTGTAAACACGGGCTCTTGCAGTAAGTGCACAGAGAACTACAGTGAGAAATGAAAAAGTCAGGGAAATAAGTCAGATTGTAAATTATAAGGAAAGGAGGAGTTGGTAAGTCAAGTCTTTCATTTAATCCTGAGGATAAATGCCCTAAATTATGAGATAGTTAGGAATGTAAAGCTGGCAAAGGAAACAAACTACCCAAAGAGAATGGAAGGAGGGGGGAGACGGGATGGGACACGACACAAGACAGACCTAAAAACTAAGGCAGGAATTTTGAGCTCTCTTCAGATTCAAGTCAAAGAACATCTCTGAAATTTCTAACAGGGATATGGACTCTAAAAAAACTCAGTAGTTAAACTAAAGAAAAAACATTAAGTTCAGTGATCAAACTGGAAATCATAAAAACCAAACCAGAAATCAAAAGCGAACATCAGATGGTAGTTCAACCATTGTAACAGAAATGTGGGAGGGAGTAGTTCAACCAACGGAACAGAAAAGCAGACATGGCAAATTCTTCATTATCTCAAATCCTTAAATCATGATGTAATACACTTGTTGGCTGCGAGTTTCTGGACTGTGGGTGCTGACCCCCACACTTTCCCCAGTGTCAGAGAATGCAATCAGGGAGTTGTGAAGCGTTGAATATTTACTGCACTCTTCCCTACTCTTTGCACACCCTTAGTCTTCAAGGTCAAGTAACTTCCATCAACCTCTCAAATCTCTCACAGATTATATAGATTTACTGTCACCAATAATTCTGAAACGATTTTATAATAAATTGTGGAAATCTGACTTAAATGAGAAACTTCAACCTAAGAAACTCTAAAAGGGCTCATCTATTTCTGGTCACTGTATTTACTGATAGAACAGTGAAACAGATACATCATGATACAGATCAGCTGATAACAGTCTGTGCTGTTACTGGCTGTGACTGTATGTTTTAAGTAACTTATTTGTAATAATAATGAAGCATAGAACTATTTTCATGAGGAATAAAATTTTAATGTTCAGTTAGGAATGTATTTTGTACTTGGCTGTTTCTGTAGTAGGTTATTACTTCTACCCTGGACAAGTTTTGTGGATACTGACTGCATTTGGTGCTTCTGTCTTCATTTCTGCTTTTGACAATGAGTTAAGCTCCTTGTGCTGTTTGGATTATTTTGGTGTTAAGATACTGACACTGAAGTCATGCTGTAGGTACCACTTAAGAGCCATTGGTTAGAGATTCAAACAGTCATTTATTTTAAAAACCTCTTACATAATTCACCAATGTATGAAATGTGCATGATAAAGTCTTAAGTTAACTTTTGTATATTGCAGCTAAATTAAATAGGCCTTACAAAGTTTAAATATTGTATCTTAATCCAGACAGTGAAAACTTGTAATTACATTGTGTATCCCGGAAGCTTGTTTATTACAAGTTCACTGATGTCTTTGTATTGATTAGGAACACAGAGTTTTCCCAGAAAATCATCCTCTTTGTCTGAAATACTGTTTTCCAGGACACTAAGTTGAAGATCAGACATATTAGATGGCAAGTAAGAGCTAAACTCAGTTATGGACTGGCTTTTTCCTGCAGAGGTCTGCCCCTCTCCTATATTCAGATCAGTATCAGAGCTAACTTGTTTGCTTCTCTGTGTAGATACTTGTTTAATATGCTGATCAACGCTGTTCTCTTCCTTACTGATCTGTTGAGCTTCCTGTTCTTCATCTAATAACAATGCCTCCATTTGAGCAAGGTTAAGTGAATCAATAGATTCACCACTAGTTCTCTTGCTGGTTTTTAAATTACTGTTTCTCTTCAAAGACTGGACTGGAGATGAAGCTGAAGGAACTGGCAGAAGATCTGAAATACTTTCAGCTCTTTGATTTGTCTTTGAAATTCTGGACCTGCTCGATTCCGGCTCTGTATCTGACGAACCTCGCTCTGGGCTTTCAAGCTGCAGAGGTTCAGGACTGCTGTCAAGAGCTTCCAAGTCTCTGCCCGTAAACTCAGCGCTGGTGAAATCTTCTGAATAAACTGTGTTGTTCTCAGGACTACCAACAAAGTCATCAGAGTATATGAATTCAGAGTTGCTTTCAACACTCCTGCTGGGGCTTGGTTTATGATCGCTTACAACAGACGCATCATCATGCTCTGTAGTTTTACGATGGATTAAGTGTATTGCTTCCTCATTACTTGCCTTTGCATTAGCATCTGATGGGAAAGCTGCTGGGAGTTGGGCTTTCGCATACTTTTCCTTGTGAGCAGATTTAAGTACAGGTTCATCCACTAAGGGGTCTGTAGTGACTTTGCATGAACGTTCCTTGCTTGCTATTTCATCATTCTTCAATGGTCTTGCAGTAGCCTGTTCCTGCAGGTCAGGGGACACATCTCCAGTCACAGAAATGCACTCTGAGAGCACACTGTTTTGTAATGAAGTCCCAACAGTTTTCTTAAACTGATTATTCTGCTTTGAACTGTCTCCCTTGATACAATGCCTGTAAGAAACCACATGCTGTTCTCCAGCATTTTTGAGCAGCTTTCTTTTGGATAAAGGGCTTCTCTCCTTCAGCATCTCCATTTGCTTTTTTCTGTACTGCTCTCTCCTTTCATGAATTATCAGCTTATCGGGGTTGGTCTGCTGCAGCCGTAGCCTCAGCGTATTTGTCAGCCCATACAACAGTTTCCTTCTGGGAGGTCTGTTTTTGTTAGTTTTGCAGTTCCTTTCAGACCCTGTCTCTCCCTGGGGTACAGCTTTCTTAGGTCCTCTCCCAGCCTGAGAAAACGCTGGTGAGGTGGCCTCTTGCTGGCCTTGCTTGACTCGAGGGCTGGCAGCTCCACTCCTCCCACCAGGCCCCACAGGTGCCTCTGCAGGCTTGAGGGCAGAGGAGCGGCTGGGGGCCTGCGAGACCGTGCCACCGCTCCCCGGGGCCTGGTAGAGCCAGGCCAGATGGGGGTGGACAGCAGCAGGCGCAGTGCCGCCGGTGAGCACCGACAGCTCTGCCAGCAAAGCACTGAGCACTGGCAGCGGG